ATCATCACACAGGTTATTGGGGGCAGGGAATAAGAACAATTCAAGGAAAGACAGCATGATGGTGAGAATGAGTGACTCAAAACTGATCCTTATCCAAAAACGTTTCAGTCCATTGAAAGAAACCAACTACTGCAACCTGTGTTTCTTATTGTACTAAGAGAAGAAATAGATAAGTGATTTTTGGGCGAGAAGCTCTAATCAGTCTAGCTCCATGTAAGCTCTATTCTCTCCCCTGCAAAATAAGAGTAGGGAAGTAGGGAATAAGCTGGAACAGTTGACTTGTGAACAGAAATTACAGGCACACGTTATCTCCAGCAGAGGTATACTGAATAACCTTGAAGAAGGTATCTTGTATCCAAGCTGAGAGGTGCAATTTTTGTTGCTGAAGTATACACTTCTTACACAACTGGTTGACAGATGTGACTGACATTTTTGTTGCGTATTTGACTGATCTGTCTCCATAGTTCTTTGTGCAGTCTTCTGAAGTTTGACTGTGGTCTGTGAGCTCTGTTGCAGAGGGTGTATAGGTATTTCTTTGGTTAGGCCCTTCCAAGACTTCTGCTTTCAACAGCAAGCTCAAATAGGTAATAAAACGTTATCTATGCTAATTCTATAGTCTGTTAAATATAAATTATCTGCAAATTTGTCCATTAATTTGCATAAATAGCTTTATGATATGCTGTGCAGAGTCATAGATTTGAACTTTTTCAACAGAAATAATATTTTCAATGGAGGCAGTCTTGGTCATCTTAATTTAATTGAATTTATTATGACTTCTCAGTCTCATATTTGCATTTTAGTTGAAGAGATAAAACCATATTACTGTCCCAAAACTGCTGAAAAGTATATGAAATGTCTCAGGTCATTATTTACTATTAAGAGGTCAAACTTTGCTATGTTTAATACCTGAAAGACAAAAATAAGGAATTTCTGAACATGTCAAGAAGAGTAGTCCTAGGTCCTTTAATTAAATCAGTCTGCAGTGGGTATATCCTCCAGAAGCTGCCTGGGAGGGCTTCCACAGGTTAGGAACTGAACTAACTTAATTTATATGGAGGCAAAGAAAGGCAGTGAAGCAGCAGAGAACTCTGTGAAACCAATTGGCAGCAAGCCATCTGTTAAGCAACCACAACTACGTCAAAGATCTCTAAAAATATATCAGTTGGTTTGGGAACATAATGCCCTAACTCCAATAAAAAGCACTTTGAAAACAATAAAAAATGTGTTTTAAAATAAATTGCATTTATTCATATAGTAATGAAATATAAGAAGAACTGCTCTCATAGACATTCTTAGTAAGTTCTGAAGTGTTCCATGAAATAATTATTTATTTGTTAGTCTCTACGTCTCCTCTCTGGAGTAGAAACTACTGTTTTATTTCAGTCCCATTGTCTCTCTCCCTAGTTTCCCCACAGCCTGACACTTCTATCATGTCCTGTCTTCCTTTTTGCTTCTCCTGAGTTTCTCCCTCATGTACTGTCCATCCAAGCCACCTTGTGCAGTCTTATTTCCATCCCACTCGCTTCATTCACTTGCCCTTGCTCTACTCTCATCCCTGCCCTTCTGACAATCCTGCTGCTTGGACTTCCTCTCAGCAATTCTTCCTTTCTACTTAGGCTTCCCTCTTCCCACATTCCCTTCTCCCATCTAAATACAGACCTCTCCTTTCTTTGTAACCTCCAAACTGGCCTTTCTGCATTTCTCTCTCTCCTGAACTCTCGCCTTTACCTTCAAATGCTTCCACTGCTGTGGAACCCTTCCCTTCCACCTCCATCTTGTATGCATCTGTCTTCTTTGCACTACCACCTTATGTGGGAGAAACTGGGGACACTTCCTTGCTGTCATTTTAGTATTTTATGCAGTATTGTCCACCTACTTTTTATATAGTCTTCAGTCTCAGGTTTGAGAAATCAGTGTATAGCTTCAGTCCTGATGAAGGTATCAGTGTGACAGCTTTGAATGAAATCTCCTCATCATTTTTCCTGCTTCTGCCCACATAGTAGTGTCGTCATCGCTGTTGTAAGAGAGCCAGGGGCAACAGCCTTGAGTTGTGATTCACTGTGTGCCAACGCTATGGACCCCTGCAGCAGGCAAAAGCTGGCTGATGGTGAGACTGCCAAGAAAAAATTGCCCATGAAACAAAGTTTAACAATCTTAATTCAGCCTTGCTAGAATACTGGTAAAACGTGAAGGTGTTGAGTCACTAATTCTTTAATAGTTTGCATGCAGGTAGATGTTGGTACCAGACGGTTAACTCCTGAGCTGGACACAGATGAAAATCTAGTTTTGCCATCTCTCTTCCACCCTTCTTTCAAACCTGAAAGAAGTATTAGAAAACCTGGCCACCAGCACTTTGGTACATTGTTAGGTGAAACAAAGAGTTGTTACAGACAGACACAAAGTATCTGCAAATCACTGTAGCACCGCTAATTTCATTCATATATGCATAGCTAATTAAGAGTGTGCTTCCCAATGTGATGGTGATTTCAGTTCCTGCACACTGCATGTTTTAAGTTGTGTTATTTGAGGACATCCCAAGAGTGGACTTCCCAGTGGCTGATTTCAAGAGCAGATGTCACTGTAAAAGTTGTTTACTTAGCAGCAGCCTTTTTTGGTTACATCCATCCAGTCAGGCTGCAAGTATGAAACCAGGAAGCATTCCCCTGTTTGTAGAAGTCTGCCTGCAGTAATAAATATAAGCGTATATATTTGAAACAAGTTATTTTAAGAAACTTCTGTTGAGGACTGTACTGCTGTTTGGCCTTTCTGCCCTTTCAGATTTTGTTGCTTAGTCTATACATTTTTAATAATCACATTGCCTGCTAGCAGTGACATTTTGTGAAGGTCATTCTTCTTGTGAAGTTGGAGAATGGACTTGAATTTCATTGAAGGACTCCCTGAGCTGCAGGATTGTTGTTTATGGAACTCTTTTGCATCTTGTACTACCTTTGAAGCCTGTTTAGAATTTTAACTGATGATATCTTCAAAGTGTCACTGTGCTCAAGGGCAAAAAAGAAATCTCAAAAAGCACTTTAAACTTAAAACCATTTTTGAATAGCTTTGAAGCATGGTATTAGCTGAAATAAAAGGCGTAGATACAGACTTACTATGTATGCACACACGGAGAATTCCATGTTTCACCAACTTTTTCATTGTCAGCAAAGTGTCTCTTCACCATTGCAATGCCTTTTTCTTCTGTACTATAAAAATCATCAGGTCTGTGGATAGTCTTAAGAATTTTTAATGTGATTGATAATTTAATACCTCAGCAGGTATCTTTAGGCAATCTCCCTCAGTGGAGAGGTTTTAATTTTGTCTACATCACTCCTAGCCTGCTTCTTCTCATTTTCCCTGTGTAGAAATACAGATACTGGGTTGTATTTATATGCGTTTTCTGTTTCTAAGTAGAGGATGGCAGATACTAAAACCAATGTGCTATGCTTGAAATAAAAGAGACTGTGGTGTCAGCTACTGAACTAAAATTGCTTGGTTTTGTATAAACCAAAGTTCCTGCTTCCCACAACTGAGCATATACCAAGTTTGCTTATTAATAAAAGATCTGAAGGTTTACTTGATAGTTTGTGTCTGATGTCTTCTGATACTGACATATTCTTTTAAAACATGTTAAATGTTAGTGGCCATGTTTGAGAATATGGGGATATTGCTTTTCGGGGATATTGTTTTTCGGTTTTATTTATTGCTTTCTGTAAATGTTTTAGCTGTATAGCTAGTATAGGACTCCTGGATCCTTCTCATAGGCATGCCGTTGGGTTAATTCTGTCGTTTTCCTTCTCTGTGACTTTGTTTTTCTATTTGTAACCTAGGAGCTTACAAAAGTACAAGGATGTGATTTATAATTTAATCCTTCCCACAAAATAATTTGTCTGGTTTTCTTCCATTTTATTCTTTTGCTATATCAAACTGCCAAGAAAATTTAGCGTATTCAGAGCTAAGATGTGCTTTTCAATTTCTATTTTGATCGCTGTACCATCAAAGCGTTGTAGTTTGGCTGGATGTTTTACAATGGATTTCTCAGTTTTATGAGCATTCCTAACATTTTAGTTGTGCCAAATAACTTAGAATCTTGTTTCAGAACATGAAACAAGATGATCCACTGAACAGCAACTACTGTGAGGGAAATGAAGAGAGGGTAGGACTGTAACCTGCCTTCGAGGTGTTATATCCTAACTGAAGTTAGAGGTTGGGAGACTGGACGAACTGTGCATTTGAGAAAATTTGTGTTAGGAAGTAAGGACAGAAGGTTGTGCATGTCCCAGAAAAATAATTTTCCATCGGATTCCCTGTGTAGAAAAAGGACTGAAAAGACAAGAATTTTCAGACTCTGCTTCCAGGCTTCTCAATGCCCACTGCATATGGACCGCTTGTGAATAAAAGCCACCAGCCTGTTTGGAACCGCTGTTTTGCTGACATGATCAAAAGGGAAGCCCTCAGCCTCTGGCCATTATCATTACCATTTTACTATTTGCCTGTCTGCCTGCTACATGGGCTTCCCTTTGCAAATTTTTTTTCTGTCTTTTGCGCAGACCGATTCACCCTTCTCATGCCTGGGAAAATCTCAACAGGAAAACGTACATGAGATTGACAAGGAAGAGAAGGCGGTTACATTTGGTCTTTTCTTTGCTTATTCCCAAACATTTTTTCCTTTCTGTTAGAAGGAGTTGATGTTATTTGTGTGGTGTTGGTTAACATCTCCTATATATATAGGGTCCTGACTTTTAACATTTTCTATAGGAGTCTTTACAGTACAGCTA